ATAGTAGAATCCATTGCTGGCGTGGTTCTCTTGTACGGAGACATTTTTTACTTTACAAATCCCCTGTTGTTGTGAATACAAATCCCCTATATGTCCTGATACTGACACCGAAAGAAAAAAAAATGCGGATGGAGTGTCTGAGAAACGGCCTGCACTGCACTGATGCACAACGTACGACAGCAGTGAGGTAAGGCCTTCTCTCTTTTACTTGTGGCCCCAAGGTCCACGTAGGATTAGATAAAAAAATAGGTGCTATAGAATTGTGATAGTTTTCTATAGAAACTATATATACTTAGAGAGAAGGTGGTCCATACAAGAAAAGAAGAGAGAGAGAAAATAAAAGTGACTCATGATAAAAGAAAAAAGACATATTTGAAACCATAAGTAGTGATAGTTTGTATTGTGTGAATAGTAGTTTTAATATTTCATTCTATGTAGACTACTTTTTTTGTACTAAAATGACTAGTAGTGTTAGCCTCCGTTGCTCTGCCTGCTGGACTAGGGGCCGCCTCTTCCAGCTAAGTCCAGTCGACGCCTTTGCCCTTTAATCAACTTTCTTGCGCCCTCACTAGCCTGCCCCAAATGCAACCGCATGGATTAAGAACCTTCCCCAAGTAGCCCCAAATCTATAGCTGAAGCTACGCTTTCCCTCGAGCTATTTTGACCCAAATGCAACAACCCGGTTTCTGGCTCTCTCTCGTCACCAATGATTACCTTGGATTGAAACAACAATTCAAACATCTGCTTTCATCCATGCTCATAAAAGATCATGCGATGTTGTCTGGTCGTCGCTCAACGTTTCTTACTTGAAAATGCTTGACCATTGCAATTTTCCAAAATATATTTTCTATTGAGGATGCCATCACCCGTCGAACGTGACGATTATTATCAGCTAATCTTAACTTGGCCGCAAATATAAGTGCGTAACAGTTGTGTATTACTTTATCCGTTCTAAATTATAAATCGTTTTGATATTTTTTTTTGTTCATCTGCTATGTATCTAGACATATATTATATTTAGATACATAGCAAAATGGATGTAATAAAAAAAATCAAAGCAACCTATAGTTTATAACGGAGAGAGTACCAGGTACTGTTCAGTTTGTACCTATTTACAAGACGATTGTCAGGAGTCAAACGTTAAGAGTCTGGATTTTGAAGTTGGTGGGTATGAATTCCTCCTACTCAAGCGAAACAAAATGCCCAGGGGGGGTGGGGGGTGGCGCACGTTATGTGTCTTCTTCGTTGCTCTTTGTTATAAAGTCTTTAAATTAGTTTACTTTTTTCTTCATTTTGCAAAGCTTAAAGATCTACTGGAAGGACATAGTACTCATTAAATTAACTCCATAAATTATGCTAGAAAAAGAGTGGAATTCTTCCTACATCACACGATATGTATACTATAGTACTAGTGTCTAGTCCTAGTACAACTAATTTTTGTGGAGTCACGTACTACCTCCATCCCAAAAACAATGTAAGTATGGATTGTGTGTCATGTAAAGTGTTCATGTTTAACCAAGTTTCTAGCAAATGATATTCACATTTATGGAACCAAATTAATTTATTATGCAAATACATTTCGTAATTAATCTAGTGATATTTATTTGGTATCATAAATATTGATATTGTTTATCTATAATTGATTAAACTTAAGGTACTAAAACATGACACTATGCTAGAATTGTATTTTTTTTTCACAGACAGAGTGAGTACAAAACAAAGGTCATGTACAGTGTGCTTGCTTTAGCATGAAAATTAGGCTTATGGTCTAAAATTTAGTCACTAAACTTTAAAGTCTCGAGGTTCTAAATAGATGGTCTAACGTGTTGTCTAAAATTTAGCCAATCTTACAAAAAGTTCATTAAACCACATAATTGAAATAAAATGGTCTAAAGTGATTCAAAACAGACCCTTAGTTTATGTTATTGTAAGCCTTATTGTACCATAGCTTAGCCATCGCCTCTTTTATAAGTCTATCTATATATATGTAAACTATTTTGAAGTGTAATGATAAAAAACTATTTTGCAGTGTATGTGCCCTATCAAATTTTAGAAACTTATACTCTGCGTCAAGTTTGGATTAGGCCATGTTTAGATCCCACCCAAAATCCAAAATTTTTCAAGATTTCCCGTCACATCGAATCTTGCGGTACATGCATGGAGTATTAAATGTAGGTAAAAAGAATAACTAATTGCCAGTAATTGGCGAGACGAATCTTTTAAGCCTAAATAGTCCATAATTAGATAATTTTTGTCAAATACAAACGAAAATGCTACATTGTCCATTTTCCAAACTGGAAGAGATCTAAACAGGCCCTTAGTATAAAGCAATGTTTTCATGGACCGTACCACGAAGCACTCAAAAATAATAAAAATGCTATTTTCATTTAAGCCTTGTTTAGTTCTAAAAAGTTTTCCAAAAAGTGCTATAGTAGCTATCACATCGAATCTTGCGATACGTGCATCGAGCATTAAATGTAGACGGAGAAAAAACTAATTGCACAGTTTGGTGGGAAATCGCGAGACGAACGTTTTGAGTCTAATTAGTCCATGATTGAACACTAATTGCCAAATAAAAACGAAAGTGCTACCGTAACCAAATTTTCAAATTTCGCGGAATTGAGTAGCTGTACCACACCAAACAGTCAGATTGCCCTTCAATCATTGAACTTCCCAACGAATTTCTACCGAAATTAACACGTACGTTTACGTACTGCATGTACATTCTTAAAACATGAAAACGAAAAAGAAAAAAAGTGTTAGTACCAGGTGTAGTAGTAGAATAATGACATATGTACGTATCAAGGAAAAGATGAAAGGACTACAATGACATCCATTGAATTGGGAATGTGATTCCTGCGATGATAAACCAAGAGTATGTATGGCTCCGAGTATTTATCATTCATAAAAAAAGCTTATTTTCTTAATAATTTTCTTCTAAAAAGAGAAGAAAACATGTGACTAGCGTTGGCGCGGGAACGGGCCATACGGTCAACACCAGCCGGTCAGCTACACTAGCAAAATGTCAAAGCTACCCCTACCCATTGCACAACGTTTCACTTGGCAAAGTCGCGCTAGGTGAAATGCAAGTGACACTGTCGTTACCAACAGTGGCGGAGGATCATTGAGACCAAAGGGGGCTATGGCCACCCCTGATTTTGACTGTTTCTTAAGAGTTATAGTGTTTATTGAGCGGTTAAGAGTTATAGTGTTTATTGAGCGGTAAATGTTGAAAATCTATGTGGATAAGCACTAATGGCCCCTCCTGGCCCCTCTTAACTTTAACGTGAAGCTCCGCCACTGGTTACCAATTACCATCTCCTTCCTATCAATCACGGCCTAAATATTTTGTTTTGCCTCACTCAATTTTACACACTGTTAGAGTATTTGGTGCCTGTTTAGTTTCTCAAAATTTTACAAAATTTTTCAAGATGTCTCTGTTATATCGAATCTTTGGACGCATGCATGAAGCATTAAATATAAATAAAAAATAAAACTAATTACACAGTTTAGACGAAATTCACGAGACGAATCTTTTAAGCCTAATTAAACTATGATTGACACTAATTGTCAAATAACAACGAAAGTGCTACAGTACCATTTTCTAAAAAAATTCGCCAACTAAACAAGGCCTTGATAAACTAATACATGGATTTCGGCTGTGTTTGGTTGGTGAATCGTGTTTGAGTGTTTCAGGCTGAGTGGAACTATATTTTATAAAAAAAAAGATTTTTGGTGAGGTTGCATGAGTGGATGCAAAGAAACTAAGATGATGTTTGGTTGTCTATATAAGCGGATGCAGTCTACCAAATCTGGGAGACTGAGATATGGGACCACAAAAGATACACTGCATCCACCCAGCCAGGATGACCAGTGAAGCTCATTTTGAGAGTACTCACCGGGCCAGGATGAGGCCGTATTTTTAAATTCGCCCATGCAAGTTGCATTCATTAAGCAAGCAACCAAACAGACTTTAAAGCATTGTTTGTTTCAGCTTTGTGGGAGTTTCTTGACCTTAGCTTTGGGACCTTTCAAAAAAAAAAAAAAAACTCCCACAAGCCAAAATCTCACTTTAAGCTTCGTTCGGCGTACCTAGAAACCGGCTTGTTTTTTCGATTAAAACAATGTTTTTTTCTCAAAACAATTTAGCCAGAACAGTGTTTTTCAGCCAAGTTTCAGCAAACCGAACGGGCCTAAAAAGCTTCTTATTTTGGCTTCCGGGAGCTTTTGACTTTTGAAAGGTTCAAAACTGAGAGACAAGAGCTCCCAGAAAACCTAAATAAACAAGCCCTTAGATTATACAGATTCATCTAACCAAGATAAAGGCGAAACATAAAACCAAACACACATGACACATGTGAAGATTCACATATATATTTATTTATTATTCAAATCAAATCCAAAAAAAAAAAAATAGCTATGGGTCCGTGAGTAGGGGCATTTTAGTCATCTTCTCCATCGCACTACAGGTGCCACCTTCGACCCTCACCTGAGGCAGGCGGTATTCGGACCGGCATCACCTATCCACATCTCTCTCTCTCTCCCCGCTTCCGTCTCTCTCTCTGCTCCACGCTTACACCTCCACGCCTCCCTCTCCTCCTCACCGGTAGAGCTCCCCACAGCCCGTACCTACCTGCCCCCTGTCCCGGCCGCCCCGGTTGCCCGACCCGACGCGCGGCTTATCCACCACGCCACCACCACCACCTCCGCCGCTGGGCGGGATCGATCGGGATCGGGATCGCGCCGCCGCCCTCCGCAGTCGCGGGGTCCTGCTCCTACCATGCAGCAGCTCTGCGCCCTTGCCCGACCGCGCCGGCCCGCCGAACCGCGCGTCCCGCTCCCCGACGACCACCCCTTCGTCGCCGTCTTCTCCTTCCTCTTCATCCCCACCTAAACCAACCTCCTCGCCGCCGCGTAATTCATCTAGGATTTCTTCATCCTCTCTCACCGCCGCCGGGAGCAGCGGACGGATCGCCGCGTCGTCCTCGGCCGCCGGCGGGATGAGCCGGCAGGCGCAGAAGCTCGATTCCGCCGCCGGCGACGGCGCAGTCGGGATCGGGGTCCTGTCGCTGGACCTGCTGGGCCAGGTGCTGCACGGCCTGTGGGAGCCGCGGGACCGCAAGGCGTGCCGTCTCGTCAGCCGCGCCTTCGAGCGCGCCGAGGCCGCGCACCGCCGCGCGCTGCGGGTGCTCCGACGCGAGCCGCTCCCGCGCCTGCTCCGCGCGTTCCCGGCCCTCGAGCTGCTCGACCTCTCCGCCTGCGCCTCGCTCGACGACGCCTCCCTCGCCGCGGCCGTCGCCGGCGCCGGCGGGGGACTCGCGGGGCTCCGCAGCGTCTGCCTCGCGCGGGCCAACGGGGTCGGCTGGCGCGGCCTCGAGGCGCTCGTGGCGGCCTGCCCCAAGCTGGAGGCCGTCGACCTGTCGCACTGCGTCAGCGCCGGGGACCGCGAGGTCGCCGCGTTGGCGGCGGCGGCCGGGCTCAGGGAGCTGAGGCTGGACAAATGCCTTGCCGTCACCGACATGGGGCTCGCCAAGGTGGTTGTTGGGTGCCCCAGGCTGGAGAAGCTCAGCCTCAAGTGGTGCCGTGAGATCTCTGACATCGGAATCGATCTGCTGGCCAAGAAGTGCCCCGAGCTCCGCAGCCTCAACATATCCTACCTCAAGGTTACTACTCCCATATGAGCTATTAAACTGTTCATTGCTTGGGTAGTGGATTGATGAAAGATGATTACTTGTGGATAGACGTTTGGACTAGCAATTCACATGCTGTTTAGAGAAATGGCGAAAATGTCATATGCAGCGACACACCTATAATAGCCTAGATATGATACCCAAGTACCCAACAAGAGCCGCACAAACCAAATTTCAGATGCAACATGGTGGCAATACAGAAGTGGTTTGGTACCATGATATGCTAAATCTCAACTTTAACCTGGAAATTCTCATAAATCTTGTGAAGTTGGACTTAAGTTGGAAGCTAATGCATATGGGTGCGAAGGTGCTATTCAAAACATTATGAGTCATATTGCCGGTGGCTGTTTTTAATAAATGCACATACTGTAGGAAATGGTTGCATCTTCACTTCTCTTTTCCTGTCCATAGGTAGTGATAGCTTAGAATGTACAGTAGTTATATGTAACACCTGGCCTGTTAGGACTTTGTCTGTAAGGTTTTCAAAATCAGTAATAAGTACTTGGCCGGTCATGCTACCTAGTGATTAGAAGGTGTAATTGTGGTAGAATCAGGCAATATATGCTACCTAGTAGTGATTGAAAGGTGATTAAAAGCTGGCTGTACAGTAACAGGTAGGGACGTCCATTATTTGTACATAACAAGGCTGAGAAAATGGCCTAATAGACCCATTTTGAAAGTGATCCCTGCCATGCAAATGATGTGTTGTGATACTGGATAATCCCAAATTGGAAGTTTAAAGTTGAGTTGTACTTAGCATACAAAACCTCATGATCCATACATTTTGCCATCCACTGAGGTGTTAGGTGTGTGACTATAAGGGGCCTGGGTGCTGAATGAATTTTTGGCCTAGGTCTTGCATTATTTAATTTTTCTCATTGATAGTAATGGCATCATTGCATTATACTATTTGTTTGTATTATATGCTTATTTTTCTTGTGTTGCAGGTGGGTAATGGATCCCTTAGATCAATTTCCTCACTCGAGAGGCTTGAGGAATTGGCAATGGTTTGTTGTTCATGTATAGATGATGAAGGCCTGGAATTGCTGAGCAAGGGGAGCGATTCGCTGCAGGTAATCACTTCTGGGATGTTAAACTTTTATAGACTTTTGATGGCTGATGCACAACATTGTGTCAATTTGATTATTTAAAATTTGAACAGTTTTTGTTATTAGCCTCCTTACTGTGACTTTGCGTACTGTCATCTGAAATCTGGAAATTGGCAACTTTATGTTTTTTTTAAATGGCGAATTTTGATATTTTTAATCATTTTCTTTAATTTCAGAGTGTTGATGTGTCAAGATGTGATCATGTGACTTCTGAGGGGTTAGCTTCACTGATAGATGGTCGCAATTTTCTCCAGAAGTTATATGCTGCAGATTGTTTGCATGTGAGTTGGTCTTCCCCACATTACTTACCCCTCACAGCCATTAGCTCTTATTTTCTGTACAATTCGATATGCCATAATTTTTGTGTTTGAAACAAAATGGTTATTTAACTAACATATTCAGAGGGACTCATCCTCATGAAGAGTTAAAGAGTAATCAAAAGTGGCAAATATCTGACTGCTTGTAGTTTGTTGATGTTATATTTATAGGAGATAGGACAGCGTTTTCTATCCAAGTTGGCAACACTGAAGGAAACCTTGACACTGTTGAAACTCGATGGTCTTGAGGTCTCGGACTCTCTTCTTCAAGCCATTGGTGAAAGCTGTAACAAATTGGTTGAGATTGGACTTAGCAAATGCAGTGGTGTTACAGATGAAGGAATCTCATCTCTTGTAGCTCAGTGTAGTGACCTAAGAACAATTGATCTCACATGCTGCAATCTCATTACCAACAATGCACTTGATTCAATAGCTGACAACTGTAAGATGCTTGAATGCTTGCGGTTGGAATCATGCTCTTTGATAAATGAGAAGGGACTAAAGCGAATTGCAACTTGTTGCCCCAATCTTAAGGAGATAGACCTCACTGACTGTGGAGTGGATGATGCAGGTTTGTGATCACTACATTTGTGCCTATGTTTATTTTTAATAAAAAAAATCTGTTATTTTAAAATTGAGCATAATCACTTTACATTGCTTGTTTTGCAGCATTGGAGCACTTGGCTAAATGCTCTGAATTGAGAATATTGAAATTAGGCCTATGCTCAAGTATTTCTGACAAAGGCATTGCATTTATTAGTTCAAAATGTGGAAAGCTTGTGGAGCTTGATCTCTACCGGTAATTTAGATCATCTTATTTATTCTTTTATCATGATCTTTATAGTCATATGCATGAAAATAACATGTCTGCAATGTCCTTTGCTTCAGGTGCAACTCTATTACTGATGATGGGTTGGCAGCTTTAGTAAATGGATGCAAGAGGATTAAGTTACTGAACTTGTGTTACTGCAACAAAATCACTGATACTGGTTTGGGTCACTTAGGCTCCCTGGAGGAGCTCACAAACCTTGAATTGAGGTGCTTGTTCCGCATAACAGGCATTGGGATCTCCTCAGTTGCAATCGGATGCAAGAGCCTGATAGAGTTGGACTTGAAACGATGCTATTCAGTTGATGACGCTGGCCTGTGGGCCCTTGCTCGTTATGCTTTGAACCTTAGACAGGTAACCTTACGATAGAGTTTAGCTTCTATCCTTGTAAATTCATAAGCAGCTGGAACCATATAAACATGTACCTGTTTTGCAGCTTACGATATCTTACTGCCAAGTCACGGGGTTGGGCCTGTGCCACCTGCTGAGCTCCCTGCGGTGCCTCCAGGACATTAAGATGGTGCACCTCTCATGGGTCTCCATAGAAGGGTTTGAGCTGGCGCTGCGAGCAGCCTGCGGGAGGCTGAAGAAGCTGAAGATGCTCTGCGGGCTGAAAACCGTGCTGTCCCCTGAGCTCCTCCAGATGTTGCAGGCGTGTGGCTGCCGAATAAGATGGGTCAACAAGCCTCTTGTCTACAAGGACTAAACTCATGTTCCTCATCGTTTGTGCAGTGTCACCATCCGCATGGATTGTCAAGATCTCCCAGGTTTGCCCTGGCTTACGTTGTGAGCCATGTGGGATATTTCGCAATAATTGTTGGGGGCGTAAGCTCCCGTCCCCAAGTTGTGGTTATGGTGTTTGCCTTTCGGGCACATCTGGCGGCGCCTGTTGTCTCTGCTCCAGTGTATGTACACTGAGGCATCGGTAATATTCATGTGTATAGCCTGCAGTGGGACGATCCACTTTCTGGGATTAGTTAGGGTTTTTGTTACTTCATTCCGCATGGTTTGAGCCTTTGAGATGAATGAAAGAATCATAAGGGATATGATCGATGCTTTGCATTCACTGTTTCTTTCTTGCTTTTGATTGGCATTATCTTATCTGATACTAATATGTGTATGATGCAACTTACATGGAGTTCAAATAACCGTTGCATAGCCCATCGGTGTGGGTGTGGCACCTCGGCTCATGAACGGAGGTCAATGGTTGGTTCCTGGCTACCATTTCTTTTGGCGGATCTTTTTTTTTAGACAAGCATGCCTTTCATTGATTTAAGGGGGCCAAAGCCTCATACATCACCAGACTCACGCCGGAATTTCATGCCACACCTCTTTGTAACTCGTGACCTGTTTAGCTAGAATATGAGCTACATTGTTACAAGATCTACTTGTATAAGTAAAAATAAAGTCCTGAAAGGCAAGCCAAATATCATCAATCTCCTCCAGAATTGGTCCTATTGTGGAGCGTTGTGAGTCTTCTCCCACAATTGGACAAGTTCTAGGCAATTTGTCTCCAAATAAATACCTTTCCGCCCAAATTGCCTAGCAACACTGATGGCATCTCTGCAGGACAGCGTCTCCATCATACAAGCATCCAAACCTCTATCATGTCATATCGCCTGGGTAGACAGAAACATACCTTGATGATCCCGATAGGACACAGGCCGTCGCCCACTGTTTCTGTCCGCGTAATAAACAGCCACAAGTATAGTTGACAGGGCGCAGGAGTTGCCACAAGTCATATGCTGTATCTCGTGCCCAAAAAGTTGCTTGTCGCAGACTCATAGCTTGTTCACCATGTTTTTGTTTATTCCTCAGCATCCAGAGAACCCAGATACCACATATGATGACTGCCCATTCCTCAGCATCCGTCAGCAAGTCAGTCGCCCAGGTGACCGGATTGAGCTTAGGAACCTTCACACCAGTTGGCCTCTCTGTGATCTCCCGGATTTGCGCAGGTTGGTTACATGGGCTTTGGAAACCTTAAAATTGGCACTTTGTAATCTTTGTTATAGGACGGCCATCAAGTTGAAAGGGACTCCATCGAGTGCATGATATATGCTACCTAATTGTCAACCTTATACCACTATAGATAACCAACACCTCGTTACCTTGATTGGTGCTTGGATTAGGCATTTGTCAGGTTCAGCCGGCCGGGCGCAAAGTGGCTACTGGCTAGTGCCATTACTTTCTGCATCGCACTTCGCTTTGAGTAGTGAGCATACAACGTTCCCAAACGGTACAAGAAACGTTAGCAAAAGGAAGGTCGAAACTTGGAAGACTTCAAATCATCCCTGAACTTCACACCCTAAACCACTGAACTAGTAGATATTTTTTGGCCTTAAACCTTATAATATCATTTAGTTAACATTCCTCCATGTATCCTATCGGCTGTTTTTGGGCCACTATGACATGAATCAGGTAGGGACCAGTGGTGAACCCAGGCCAAAATTATAGGTACGGCGGACAGATGCCAAATGTAATCAATATATTTGGATCGAATTACACATATGCCATAGCAATCGGTGGCACACAAATTTGAAAATAAATCACAAATATAGGCGAAGACATGGAAAGCACAAATATAAGAAATGGTACAGGCGAAGACATGGAAAGCACAAATATAAGAAATGTTGTTCATAATCCATACAGTTCACATACATTGAAAGATTCAAAACAAAGAGAAATATAACTTGTGATTGTCAATTTGAAAATAAATCTACCAACTGATAAAGCTCCCAAACCCACCGGAATTCTCCGGTGAGTATCACTGGAGCTTCACTGTGTCCAGAGACTACAAAGTTTTTTGGGTCACCGGAGAAGTACCAGAGTAAGCGTTGAAAGAGTTCGTACAGTAACTAGCCATCGGAGGGCCACCGAATTTCTCCGGTGTTTATCCAAAGGCACCACCGGAGGTTTTCGGTGAGCAGAAAATGTGAGTGGACTGATATTATGAGCACTCTTGGGGAAAGTTCTAACTACAGCAAACGGGCATCCAAGAGAGTGCTTTGCTCTAGTGGAGTGATTGAGGTTTGCCAATTGAAGATTAAGGACCCTATTATTACTTAAGAGTAATAAGTGTGCATCCACTCTTCTCATTGGGCTTGAGTAGGTCAAGTGAGAGTTTGTGTTTGTTACTCTTTGTGATCGGCAACACCTAGACAGCTTGATGACGATCAGTGAATTGGCGATCTCCCGGAGGAGCTTGTGGGAGGCCCAAGATGGTGTAAATAGTTGTGCATGGTTGACCATGTCAGAGTGGTGAAAAATCAATCCGTAGATAGCATTTGGCCCTTGTACGGATCTAGGGGGAGCAATACCCTGTGCGCAGATGCTTCAAAAAGGACTAGTGGAGAGTGCCGACTCTTCGATACATTAGGAGAACATCGACGTGTCCCTAGTCATTTCTTTACTTAGAGCATTTACTTTCATGCAATTTATATTCCTAGAATTGCCATGATAGAGTAGGGTTGAAATTAGGGTGTAAAACTTTGTGCGGTAAGCTAGAAACACTTATTTAGCCACAGGGGTGAAATGGGCAAAGCGATATGTTTTAATTCTATGATAATTTTATATTAGTCCAATTCCTCCTCCTCTCTCTTAGTCATCTTGATCCTTCTAACATGGTTTGCACAACAGCTTTGAGATAGTTTTTCCATTTATTTATTAATAATGGAAAAGTAATTGATTTATATGCATACTTAGTGGTTGGTTTAGAAGCACTAGTGAAGATGCAAAAGGGTTATTTTCAGTTATCCTTCGTAATGTCATCTAGGGACAATTTAGATGCAACAGGTTACTTTAGTTAATTTTCATAACAACAGAATGAGTAATTTAGACGTAAATTTGGAGGGCCAACAATGCTTGAGGTTATTATAAAACAATGGCCAGTTTTTTTTCCTTTTCATGGGAATTTTATAGTTTTTATATATTTTTAGCATGTCTATTGAGTATTACTGTTAATTTTACAAAAAAAATAAAATAATCTAGTTAATAACACACGCCCTCTAGTTAATAGCACCCTGTTCAAAGTATTCGTTGTTTTAGCATCTTTCACTATCTTCTACTTGTTCTACGATTCTAGAGCCTGTTTGCTTGGTCGTATTTGGCTTAGTGTTTGTTTAGTTCCCAAAATTTTGTAAATTTTTTCAAGATTCCATGTCACATCGAATCTTTGGACACATGCATGAAGCATTAAATATAAATAAAAATAAAACTAATTACACAGTTTAGATAAAATTCACGAGACGAATCTTTTAAGCCTAATTAGACTATGATCGGACACTAATTGCCAAATAACAACGAAAGTGCTACAATACCATTTTCCATAAAAAAATCGCCAACTAAACAAGGCCTTATAAGCCATGGTTTATCAGCCAACGAATAGTATTTTTCTCTCGCACCAAACCAGCCAACAGTACTTTCAGCCATGGCTTATAAGCCAAACTAGCCCAAACGAACAGGGCGTTTGGTTTCTACTTTCTCTCGTCTTACACTTTCGTTAATTGCATTGTTATCAGACTTCTTACTCTTGTGTGCATGCTTTAGAGAACATTATTGGTGATCATCTTAATACTTGGCACAACTCTAAACAATTACTTTGCGAACGGACGCTAGGCTGGCTGGTTTAGCGCTCTTAGTAGCACCCTCACGGTGAGGGTTCGAGCCCATGTGTGGCACACCCGCGCGTTGTTTTCGGGGTTTTTCCTCGAGCAAGGTAAAAAAACACCCTTGTCTGCTCACGTTCAAAGCATAGGTCTGTGGCCAGCTCATCTCACGAAGCTGCGGTGCCGTTATGTATGTGTGGGGCAGAGGTTCGGGGGTTTTCTCGATTTGCGTTAGAAGATCTTCTTCTTAAGCCATAATACCGGGGTGACTAGTGTAACACCCCGGGTGTTTAAATATTAAAAACATGACATGTCATCATATACATTGTAAGGCATTGGTCATATTGCAAACTTTGATATGCATTCACTAAAACAAGTTTACATTTATGTTATAAGTATTGCTTGGTATTGTTTGAATCAAGTTCGAAATCTTTGTATTGATTTGAAATTCCGAAAACCCTGATTTTCAATATTTAAATCCTACCCTAAAAACCCATTTCAAAATCGAAGCATATTTTGGGGTTGAGCCTTAAAGAAAAATTGTAGAGCTTGTTGAGTTGTACAAAGTTGGTTTTTAGAGTTTTCTAAGTTGTTTAGAAAAATTTGAAGTAATTTAAAAAGGCGAAATTCCTTAAATGTCCTTTTCGAATTCAAATTTGCATTTCAAAATATAGACCGAATTTGGATATGGTTATAAAAGCAAAGTTGTAGAACTTTTGATTTTGAACAACTTTTATTTTTGGAGATTTTTTATTTGTTATATAAATTTGGGAGTAATTTGGATTTTAAAACGAATGGCAATTTTATAATTTTGATGAACAATGTTCACCGCTCTTGCTACATCGCCGGCGACCTTCGGCTTGCTTCCAGGCGCGCGCGTGGTCGTTTTCGGCGTCGTGCTGGCGCGGTGAAGGCCGTGGCGTGGCTTCTCCTTGCTTCTGAGTCGCGTTATATGGACTGAGCCGCTGTCGTTTGCCCCCGCTTCCTCACTCTGTTTCCGCCGCCGCCGGTGACCTTGCTGTGCTCGCGAAATTCATCCTCACCGTAGCCCCTCGTGCCAATTGCGTCTGACAACATCTCTGCCTTGCCCTATCGCTCC